TCAAATCAAGCTTGTAGCTGGCTATAAATCTTTTTTCCTCTACTTTCAAATATTGTTGTTAAACAATGCTTAACTTTACTGATTTTTGACAAATCGGTGGTTGGCTTTTTTAACCCCGGACCTTCATATATTACTATCTATTCTGCGATAAATTCTGGAAAATTATAACTGGAAAAATGTTATTCGACAAAAGGTCCATTTGATCGATACCAAGTTTAGGTTCTGAATTTAAATAACATAAATAAAAAATAATATAACAACCTAGAAAATGTTTTATAAATACCAATGAGCATATAATTATACAAATAAGATCTTTCAGAGCACCGTGTTTGAGAAAAATATGCCAAAAATGCATTTTCATATTAACATATCGAAAAAGTTTATATTTTGAGTCTCTAGTAACACTTGGGGCCCGTTTACTAACGTTTTTGTATATAAATAAAACTACAAACAAAACTACTTACTACAAATTTATCACAAATAAATAATATTCGCGTAAAACATCCTATTAAACGTAATTGAACATCATCTGTCAAAAGCGTTTGACATTTCACGAAATTGCCACCGTCCATTGTTCTATTTAAATTACGCTTCTACAAAAATTTTCAAATTATAAATGTAAAGTTTCTACGCGGATTTGAAATAATTTCTCACCTTTTGGACATTCTCTGGATTGGCACGAATTTTTCAAGACTAAGACTCGCCAAATCGATTCAGCCGTTTTCGAGTTTTATTCGGACATTTGAAAGAGAGCTCCATTTTTATATATAAGATATTAGGGTGGTCCTTAATATGGACATTTTGGAATTTCCTTGCTCCCAAGGTCTCAAATGAATCCAAATTGATAAAAAACAATTCTCTGAAAGTTTTAGCTCTTAATATTAACTTTTAGATAATGCGCAATTCAAACAAATTTCGTATGGAAATAGCATGAAAAAAATTTTGAAAATTAAAAAAAAAATATTTTAGGTATAACTTAGTGACAAATTTGGAATAAAACTCATTCATTTGTTTGCTAAATTATATCTAAAAACATATTTTAAATTTTTGAAATTTTTTTCATGCTATCCCCATACAAAACTTTGATTGAACTGCGCACTATCTAAGAGACAATATTAAGAGCTAAAACTTTGAGAGAATTGTTTTTTATCAATTTGGAACCATTTGAGCCCTTCCAAGCAAGGAAATTCGAAAATGTCCATATTAAGGACCACCCTAATATATATATATATGTATATATATATATATATATGTGTATGTGTATTAATTTTTTAAAATTTAATTTTCCAGATGCTAGTGCACAACATCAGCACCTACCCTTCCTCAAGCGTAATGTCCAAGATGATACCCTTCGGAAAAGAGACTTTCGTCCAGATCGTGCCCAGCTACATATTTTCCAGCCCAGAAGTCCGAGATTTTCCAGCAGATGATAGAAAATGTCTGTTCAGCGATGAAAATCATTTAATATGGTTCAATAGTTACGTTCGAAAGAATTGTTACACGGAATGCGCCATGCGGAGGTACAAGAAGATCTGCAAGTGCATTCCCTTCTATTTTTCGAGTGTGGCTTCAACGCAAAGTTGCAGGATTATTAATGCTACGTGTGTTATGAAATATAAAAGTTAGTAGAAAAATATAAGGAAATAAATATTTGGTTGTTAATAATACTAAACATCAGCACATAAACCATGCCAATTGTCAACTGATACAGTTGGTCGTATCTTCAAAATCATTATCAACAAAGTCTCCAATGCAATAATAGAATTTGAAGTAGTGGTTAAGTCCAAAAATCAAACCATACTTAATAAAATTCAATGTAATAATATTTATTAACAAGTCCTTCTCTTCATCAGCAAATTTCAAATATTCTCATCTCACGTCTTTGCATAACTGATTTTAAATTCTTTACATTTTGATCAAAATATTTCGAATTTGTTACAGATTTGGTGTGGACCAGGAAGGGAAAGGACATGAACGAGAAATTATTTGGCGAATGCAATTGTCCTGCAGAATGTGAGGAATGCCTTTTCAAAGGAAGAACCACAAACGGCGATTTGAACGCGACCATGTTCACCCTTGATCCTTTCTAGTAAGTAGAATGATTTTATAAAAAAATATTTTTGAAAAAAAATCAATAATTACATTAAACTTGCGTACTAACCTAGATACAAAAATATTATTTATAAATAAAAAAGAAGCTTGATCCAAGTAAATAGAATTGTTTTATAGTCTTGCTTTGAACTAGGCATTTCATAATAGGTTCAATGGGAATCTTTAATATTTCATTGATTAATTTGTTTATAAAAATCACAGTAATTTCTAGACACAAGAATGGGATTGAGTAATGTTAAAATTAGCGCAAAATTCACATATACTATATATAATGACTTTTGATCTTTTGATTCAAATCAGTTTCTTGTATCAATCCAATAATAAATGTACTAGTTTATGATAACAATATACATCGAGCTAGTGATAATAATTTGGACTCAAATGGCAAAACGAGCATATTTAATATTGTTTTTTAATTCATAGTAGAAATGTTCGAAGAAATGACGATTTTCTTGTTCTTCATATTTTAATAAATAAAAAAGAAGCTTGATCCAAGTAAATAGGATTTTATATAATAGACTTGCTATGAACTATGCATTTCATAATAGGTTCACTTGGAATCTATAATATTACAACAATTATTTTTTGTAAAAATAATCACAATAATTTTTAGATACAAGAATGGAATTAAGTAACTTTAAAAAAATCGCAGAAGTCACAAATGACATATAATACTATAAGCATAGAACTTTGATCCGATATTCAAATTAATTTTTTGTATCTAGTATATAGCAATCTAGGTGAAAATTATCTCTCTGTTAGTATATAGCAAATGTACTAGTTTATCACAACATATACATTGAACTAATGATAATAATTTGGACTCAAATGGCAAAATAAACATAGCTTAAGCTATTTTTATTTTTGTTATTCATAGTAGAAATGTTCGAAGAGATGACGATTTTCTTGTGCTTCATGTTTTCTACGGAAAACAAGGGTGTCGAGTTTGGAGGAGAGTTATGCTTTCAACTTGGATCGATTTGATCAGTAAGTAAACATATTTTTTTCTAGAACATATTAAATAACAATGATTTAAAAAAACGATTCATAGATAGATCAGTCACAACAGCCGTAACTATAAATTTTTAGTGTAATTATAACGAGTTATTGCTATTTTTTTTAAATTTGTATTATGCATTGTTTCACTTCTTACTTTATCTTCAACATAGACTATCCAAAAATATTGAAATCTATACAGTAAATCTATTGGTCATAAAGCAATTTTGATGTAAGATTACATAAAGGCGTTTGCATTTTCCACTTCATTAAAATTAATTGGTGACTAACATAATTAACCAACCACACTTTGGTCTGTTGTTGGGTAGATGACGAAATCATGAATTTTTGCCAAATGGCCAAAACGTAGAACGTTCTGTATTCATACAACTACGTAATGTATTGTAATCCCAGGTACCAAAAGTCCCGAATTTTGTATCTAAATTCAAATTTTGTTTTATTTTTCCAGCATCTTCTTACTTCATCTTCAACATTAACTATCCAGTTATATTAAAGTATATCCAATAAATCTCTTGGTCGTAAGAAAATTTGGATGCAAAATTACATATAGGTGTATAAAAAAATATTAGCATTTTTCTTTTTATTAAAATTAATTGGTGACTGACATAATTAACCAACCACACCTTTGGTCTGCTGTTGGGTAGCTGACGAAATCATGAATTTCGCCAAAAATGGCCAAAATGTAGAACGTCCTGTATTCATACAACTACGTAATGTATTACAATTCCAGGTACCAAAAGTCCCGAATTTTGTATCTAAATTCAAATTTTGTTTTATTTTTCCAGCATCTGTAGGCGGAATAATCGGCTTATGTCTGGGTTCGAGCGTCCTGAGCATAATAGAAATATTTTACTACGCTCTGCATTTCGTAAATAAAACAGTGGAAAAGGTAGCGACGAAAACATTAAAAAACAAAGTACGGGATGTTCAGACCAAGGATACACTATTGAGCGAAACTTACAAGAAAAAGAACAGACTGTTGTCATATCATAACTAGAAAAAGAATAAAATCTCTTACATTGTTTATACGAAATTTCAAAAGCTCTTGACAACGCTTGAACACGTCGAATACGTATTCTTTACATGGTACGATAAACGTAAATTTAAAACTTAAAATAATTAAAACCCTTGATTTATTCATTAAATTATTGTAATGCACTCGAAAAAAATATAATAATATCATTATTTCATACAAATAATCCCATAAACATTAACATAAATTTTATTTTTATCCTGAACTTGAATAGTTTAAAATGAATCAGGTACTCTAAATTGACTAGGTATTTAATCATAAATAATTTCTTCTGATTAGAATTATTCAACAATGAAAATAAATCGACTAAAATCTATCGTACCGCTTTTTAACATGTGCTATTATTTGATTATTATATTACATGTAACTATAATCTTACAATATGCTCTACACTGCACCTATGTAAATCATATATCTTATTATTATTTTTCTCAAAGCAATTATATAAAATGATAATAAGGATCTATAAAGCTCTTTCAGGTGATAGTATTACAGTTGGGCTCTAACTGAAGTACTAACACTTTACAATTGAGTTTAAACTAGCAATTTTTAATTATTTAACATTAATTATTATATACATTTTACATAATCATTCCAGCATACTAAAAAATAGAATCACATATAAATCACGCGCACGACTCTAAATTAAGTTATTGTCAATCTTCTTAAAATTATTTTACATTAAACATTACATTTACATCTATTGATTACTTATGTACAAATAAATAAAAAAAGATTTTATTTTATCGTTGGCAGATTTCATTCCCAAAATTTTAATTATTAAAAAAGCGTAATTTTAATTATTGTATCGAAGCGCTAATTTTTTTAAAGTGCAGTTCTACGTCATGTGCAAATCGCCTTTCAAAATCCTCGTGAAAGTTTTCTTGAATTGCTGATTTGCCAAAGCGTAGCAGAATGGATTCATAGGACTATTGGCGTAGCATAGAAAGTAGGTGAACATGAATAAATGTTCGTTTGTGCAAGGAGGATCAGCACAAAAGCCTTCTACTAATGCTAATATATGGTAAGGAGTCCAACAAGCGACGAACGCTCCTAAAATAAAAGATATTGTCCTAAACGCCTTCCTGGCACGGTTTTCAGACTTAGATTTTTGTCTTCCCAAACCGTTTTTATCAGAGTTTTTCTTTCCTTTTAATCGTTTACCAATTGACTTCATTAAGGCTCGTTTACTGCTACCTGATGTGCTATCATTGTCTTTTCTAGATGATCTCTTGTCACTTTTCGTCAAACTTACATCGTCAGTCTGAACTAATGCATCGACTGTAGCAGGATTGACTATTGATATCACTGGTTTGGAAGAAGCATCTGGTTGAACACTGACTAATGTGTTGCAAACTTGTTTACCTACACTTTCTTTGTGCTTACCTAATTTTGAAGCTGCTCTCACCAAAGTGGCTTGTCGAAGACTTGGATTAGCCGATGACGAACTATTGTGATCAGCTCCTAGATCAGATGAGGTCCCGCTGGCGGACGATGACACTGCCATAGAGCTTTCATCTCCACAATTTCCATCTCCGGGATCCTTATTATTAAGCACATCATAAGTGATGTTATTACCACCTTGAGACTTAACGACTAGAGTTTTTGGGCGTTCATATCGTTGTGGTGTACTGTCAACAGCTGCTGCGCTACCTTGAAACTCTTCAGGCGGCGGAAGAATCGTGAAAGACAAAGGAGCAGATGTGGTGTTACTTACAATATCAGGAGGCTTGATATCTTTAGGTGATATAACTGGTTCGACAGATTTACCATCACCATCAGACGGCCTCCCACTTATGATATAATCAGATGGATCCATTGACCTCGAAGACGGTTCGGTAGTAGTAGTTCCTAAAGCATCAGTACTCGGTGTTGTTGGTGTTATTTCTGGTTTATTTGTGCTCAATTTATATCCATTCAAACAATTATTATTCGGCGCTGATGTAGCCGTGCTTCGTTTATTATTTCCAGGATTTGTTGCAGAACTATCTTCATCCGATTCAAACGCTGGACTACTTGATCTCTCCGACTTTTCTCCTTCTTGTAAATGCGTCATTTGTTGAGATGCTTTACCTTCTTCTGTAGTTTTAGTTAATGAAACTTGTTTTACAACCGTTTTAATAGTACCATACTGTTTTTCGTCATTTTTAATAGTAGTCTCATTCGTTTTAGATAAAACCGGTGTGGAAGAATTTGCTTTACTTTGATTTCCTAAAGAATTCTTTTTAGCTATCCCTATACCAGCTGCTCTTCCAGCCATTCCAGACATGGCACCAGCACTTAAAGCCACCATAGACTGCATTTTTCGTTGTTTTGCTTCACTTTTCTTTTGCATATCATAAGCTGTTTTATAAATTCCGCCATACAAAATAAAAAGAACTACCAGAGTAGTCCAATAGTAGCCGATGATTAAAGCCGTATTAAAAACAGGATCTTTCAAAAACTGAACAGCACATTGTCCTGGTAGAAGATCGCGATATCCGACAAAATGTTCCCATCCAAAAATACAAATAAAAAACAGCAACGCAGGTATTATCCAAGTTATTGTCACCATCCATATGACGCGATTTTTCGTCCGCCAACTGCGATATTTTGCTGCAATTTTAACGGAGCAAAAACGATCGATGGTAATTAAAAGTACGGTGTATTGAGAGACTAAGCAGACTGTGTAGTCGACAGAGAGCCAAAGGTCACATAGTAAAGGTCCGAGGTCCCAAGACCCGACCAGTACGTAAACTGTATAGAAGGGCATTGATACCGTGCCTGAAAACAGGGCCAAAGTCAGCGGATGAAATAGACACAGAAAATGAAGTAAAAATGATAATGGTGGTTGATGGTAAGATAATGATGACACTGAATGATGGGGATTGAGTTTGCCTTGCTGTCTTCTAATGAAATCTTATAACACGTTAACAATCCCAGATTATTTTATTTGCAATATATTATGGTAATTTTTTATTCTATAATGTTATTTTTATGTAAAACCCTGGATATTTCGATTCTGCCACTCCTAAATAGTAATATGTAGATTATACGAATCCACAAAATATGGTTAAGCAATGAATCTCAAGAGCAATTCTTAATATTTGTTCACTGATATCAAGTCTACTACACAGTAGCCTTTTAAAAGTTATCATATATCTTCACAATTATTAAATGTCTAATATAAGACAGACTCTAATTTATATTGTCAAACCCGAAGGTAGTGTAGAATATTACACAATGATTAATATTAGATATGCTATGAAATAAATATATAGAACGTTTAGTAATTATTGATATTTTACTTTTGATGAAGCTGAAAAATTTTGATAAATATACGTCAAGAATATTATAACCGAGCTTTATGATAATACCATTTTTCCAAAGTCTGCATATGATATGATGCACAAATTATTATCTTCAACTCGAATTTCTTTATAATAGTTTAATTTAAATTTCAATGAAAATGATCATGATAATGAAAATGAAGATGATAAATTGATGAATTTACTCACCGATCAGCATATCGGTCGCGGCCAGGGAAGCAATGAAGTAGTTGCTGGGTTGCCTTATAGTTCTATCCACAATAAAAGCTAGAAGCACCAATATATTTCCGCCTACGGTCAGCACAATGCAAATAGCCAAACAAATCGCTATTAGAATAGTTTGCCATAGTTCAAACGGAGGCAAAACCGGCCCAGGAACCGTTTCGAAGTCCGAAGAGGTCAGGATCGTAGTTGAATTTATTCCACCTATTAAATCACCTGGAATAAGAGACATAAAAAACCATACATATAATTAGGATTACATCACCATGAATTCATTAGTATGTTAATATGTAATATTATTTAATTTACCTGTAAAATTTCCTAAATATGTATTATTACCCACAGCCCAGTCTAGACTACCCCAAGTATAATTATCTCCGGAATATTGTCTAAAAGATTGTAAATTCGCAAGAAAACTTCGACATTCGGCCGACAGACGTTGGTGGACGCCGGCGCAGACATGATGCCGTTGTTTCTTTAACTTCCTGAAAAAAAATTTAATTTATAAATATATATAACTAAAATTCGTATAAATTTATCTGAAAGGATTACTGAAGTATATAAATAAATAACATTGAACGTCTAAGCCGAACCTTGAACTGTTGCGCGATCGTGCAACCCGTCACGCGGCGGTCGCCGTTTTGAGAAAATCCATTTCTCATCGCACGCTATATACGAAATATCGATATTTTCACAATAGATACGTGAATTGGGCACTAATTTCTTGGCTTAACAAAAGCCTTTGCTATGAATTTAAAGTAAAAACGACGAAAACAGATCGAAGTTTGTCATGAATAAGAAATAGATCTCGAGACGCTGTTGGGAAGTTGATGACATCGATGGAATTAGAAGTTTGAAAAATGAAGGAAAATGGAACAGATCGCCAACTCAAGCTGGATGAATATTTTTATAGTGAAATATAATTAGAAATAATTTACTTTGATGGATATGCTTCTGAATCTAAATAAACTCAATGATGGATAAGCTGGATGAATAGTAATAAAAATGACAAAGGCTCGAAAACGCTTTGATAATTTACACCTTTACCTCATACAAATAGCAAATGCAGCATGATCGTTTAAGCGACATTATAAATTATAATTTTTATATACAGTTTTTATTGCTAGTTTATTTGTACGACCATGAATTTCAATATTTTGCAACAATATGTGTCATATTTTATTTAGTCAACCAGAATTTCTTCAATTTTATTTCTTCAAAACTAATGATGATGTTGAAATTCAATCGATGTTCTAATATGCTATTTATGTAAAAAAATTATTCAAGTGTAGACATAGTTGTATGTCAAAATCATCATATTTTATTTAGTCAACCAGGATTTCTTCAAAACTAATGATGATGTTGAAATTCAATGGTTCTAATAAATATGCTATTCATGTAAAAAAATTATTGAAGTTTAAGCATGGTTTTGTGTCAAAATTTATAATCTTATAAAAAAATTGCAAGTTTTTAAGCTCTATAAAATTAAGAATGATATATTTTATCATACAAATAGATAATTTAAAAAATATCTTACAAAACATAAATGACTATGAATTCATATTTCTGGAACATAATTCTAGAAACAGCAATATTTTAGAGATAAATTAGAAATTTTTAGGGCAGTACCACATGCTAACATAATTTTAATGATAATTAATTAATTACAGAATTGTTATTAATTAACAAAATAATTAAAAGTTTATAAAATCCAGTAACTAAACTAGATTTATTATATAAAATAATTTTTATTATTCTTAGTAACATAATTAACAAGCCGCAAGTTTTAATGATGATCATAAATCATTCTAGAAATTGCGACTGCGTTAATTTAAAACTGCAATCTCAAATTTAAAAATTCATCAACTACGTCTCATTTTTCTCAACTAATATATATATATATATATATATATATATATATATATTACAAGAAAGTACCTACATTACGTGAAAATTCCTATATCTCCCAACCAATATGCGTCGAAGCAATCCAAATATCTTCCGAATAATAACATGAAAATCCATTATTAAATATTCACGAAAAGAACCTACAAATATCGGTGTGTAAAAAAAATTCGTATGTGTATATTATCGGAAAGGGTAGTATCGTATTCTAGATAACACCCTCAGAACTCAATGGAATCCATTGGGGTTGATTTGCAAGGGAATCAAATATTCGAGGTATTTTGCCCTGTGAATCACGTACTGTATTGTAAGTATGATCAAATTTTTATTTGTTTTAATATTATATATCTGAATTTATCTTTAATATATCTGAAGGTTAGTATAGGTGAAATTATTTATATGAAATACTATGTAAGATAGTTACCCAAAATAAACCCTTTTAAAATGTTGTGCAAAATTTCTGCAGCATATTTCTGTCTTTATTTAAATCCGAGCATAAATTTATTTATATAAATATCCCCAAAATATAGTAATATTTTTAATTTTAGTTAATTTATTATTTATCATAGCATTTCAAAATGCGTGAAAGTTTGTTTTCTAATTTATTTCTAAATGGTAAGATGATTTTACCATATTTTTTTTTTAGTTATAAATGCAAGGTACCAAATTCGTTACCAGCGTCTGGGAGTCTGATACCAAGCAAAAGTGATAAATATTTTGCAATTAAAAATAGAGATCTAGAACCTAATTTTAAATAAATTTTATTACTGGAATATCACAAATAAAAACAACAACCATTTGTGTTGCCTTCTACAATAACTATTGATAGTCCTAACTACAATTGATTAGGACAATTATTTGCCCAATAAAAATACTATCACACCTTTCTTGCAAATTTTACCATAAAAATCTTTCTCCCTAAATCTTTAGTATTAGAAACAAAAATCGTTTGATCCTGACAATAGATGCAACACAGGGATAAGCAATCCTCAGCATTTTATAAATCGTCCTAGCCAATCGCCTTGTATACAACCTTTAGCGGGTGTAAAGCTACCCTTTGAAATACAATCTAGAAGCATCTGTCCCAAAATCCTGAATGGCTGTTCTGATATGGACAGCCGTTTTATTATAACAGGAATTGCCAAGGAGATGGACGAGGGATTTGGATGAATAATCTATAACTTTTGGTAAGAACGAGTGGTAAGATAAAAAATTTATAGTTAGATAAAACAAGTGGGAAACAACATGTTTCACATGCTTTCACACATTCAGCAAGGTTCTAAAATAAAATTGATATATACAGTATCAAATTCAAATAAATAGAATAAATTCTGTTGATATTATATTATATACTATTATGATTGTCATTTTTATCATGGTAAAAGCATACTTCTAACTTGTTTTTTTAAAATAACAAAATATTAAAAAGCAAAACTTTTTTCAGAACAAACAAATTATAATCATCAATAATCTGCTAAAAAAGGCACTACGCATGACAAAGATTACAGATTAATATTTAAAACCAAACAAATATATAGAATATTTATATTGCAAAATACTGCATGCAAAAATTACAGATTAATATTTGAAACCAAATAAATGTATAGAATATTTACATTACAAAATGCTGCTTTATATAAACTAGAAAATAAGACATTAAAGTCTTGATTAACAAAAATAAATTGTAACAAAAAAAAAAAAAAAAAATATAAACTAGAAATTTTTTATGCTCATCAGTAAAAATTATAGATGCAATTTATTGTCAAAAACAACTTCTAAGAGAATGAAGTAAGTATTCTGGTAAACAAGCCATATTTGCTACCAAGATTTCAGAGTTCTATTTGAGAACAAAAAATGCAAAACAAACATATAGAGATATACAAACATTAGTTAAAAATAATCATGATTCATCTGAAATTTGGTTAGTTATGCAAAAAATATAAAAATTTAGATGAATATGTTTCCAAAGGGGTCAATATTTTTTAAGGGTCTAAAACAATTTGTTAACAAGCTTATTTCAGCTGTAAAGTTCCAGGGTCTACAAAAAATAATCGAGGTTTGCGATATATTTATAAATTAATACTAAACTATTAGAGATTCATGCTTTCCATTAAAATATTTATTTATTGCTTACTTTATTTTGTTACTATAAATTAATTTAATAAATGACCAACTTAACACTGTTTTTAATTTCAGTTTGTAATACTAATATTGAGTACAGTTAGAAAATTACAAAGAAACTGTAACAAGTGAGAAGTCTATCGTAAACCGAAAAACAATACCAAGAGGCAAGGCAAAGAAGTCTGGGAAAATATGGTCTAAATTGTTACAAATAATTTTGTCAAAGACATCGCCAATTACCAAGCCTAAAGAAACTGATTACAAGCAGACTATTTTCATCAGGTTAGGTAATAACAAGTAATCGATTCCCTTGAGCTCCAGTGCTATTTTTGCAAAACCACGAGACGTCCTTAACTTTTCCGCGCGATTCGCACTGAATGCTCAAAAGCAAAGCCAACCATATTACCTCGAAGATAAGCAACGACATTACTACACATAAATATGGTACAAATTCATGCTGATTTGTGTAAATCGAATATGTTCCGTACTTTGTATACATGTCCCCGACATCGGTTTGTTGCGTAATGTATTCACGAAAGGAACATGGAAATGCGATTGAATTATCTGCGCGCATCCATATATTTCGGCACAAAGTCGTCGGGTCTATTTTGATCCCGGAATAAGGGTAATAATGTACAAATCCTTATACATTCGAACCTGTTGTTACGTAAACGTAAATATTCGGTAATAGAGATGAGGACAAAAGTCACAAGAGTCATTTTCAGGTTTATTTATTGTTATGGAGATAAGCTCTATTGGCAGAGTTTGCGAAATTGTAGTTGATCATGCAAAATCATTCAAATTTCTCTCTCTCTCTCTCTCTCTCTCTATATATATATATATATATATATATATATTATACGTAATTAAAAGAAGATTCGATGAGGGGCTGTTTTTGCAATTGAATAACGACTAAGTCATAAACAAACGTTTTGACAATACGGCCCGAACGAAACAAACACGTGGATCCTTAATAGCGTGTCAAAATTTCTTAAAAATTGCAAGATCCCATCGCTTTTTAAATTTCCCATAAAATTTGAACACATGCTAAATACTGCTTCAGGAAAAAATGTGACATTTCTATCTTGAACTCCGAACAGTAAATACATAGTTTCGACAACTTGTTAAGTTATCATGTATATTTGTGTGTTTTACCATCTGTGATGTTAAAATATATATATTTTATCAATGTGCACATACTCATACCATGGATTAATAATGTTTTCATATGTTATATTAGGATACAAAATTGTAAGTGTTTTATTATTATTATTATCATTATTGATTTTCTTTGAAATTTCTCACATATCATTTATTTAGTTTTAATTTTTATAGTTAAATTGATTGCCACTGAATGAAGGCTAAGATGCTAGCCGAATTTTAAATAAATTCATTTTTAAAAAACTCTCATACTATTTTTATTGATGTAACGCCCGACTTTATAACTCAAATTAAATAT